AAAAAAAAAAAAAAAATAAGGAAAAAATAGGAACAACAGTACACACAACGCATCATGAAAAGCACCCCCGGCGCCCTTTCTACAGCGCTCTGCACGAAACGCCATCACACACACTGTCGGCTCTGCGTACAACTAAAAACCGCAGTAATAACAACAACATCAATTTCTTCTGCCGTCGTACACTCGGTTGCTTCGTCTAATCCTGCTTACCCGGCCACGTTTGCTCGGAGAGACAATGTCTCCCTCCTTCGTACACGCGGCTACTTCGTCGAATGCTGCTTACCAGGCCACGTGGCTCGGAGAAACAATCTCTCCTCCTTTCTTACACTCGGCTACAATGCGGTTTACGCGGCCGCGTTTGCGCGGAGAGACAATCTCTCCTTATACTCGAATGCTTATTCGCATTCTATATTTGTGCTGCACTATGCGCGTAGAATGCACGTGCTCAGCTGTTAATAATTAATTGCCCATAAAGGAGAATACGACCCCGTCATATTATTCATTTAAATCTACATGTTATATGCATGTAACCGGTACGCACCTGTTCCTATGGTCATATGAAAAGAAGTTGACTACACAGAAAAAGAACAAAACAGGGCAAAAGTAAGCACAAAGAAACAGAAGTAAGCAGAACAGAGCAGAAAAAAAAAAGAAGGTATGGAATAGTACAAACAAGAAATATATTATGTATATCACATAATGAAGTAAAAGTGGTGTACGATTAGCATGCGTTATTTCCCATTCATATGCCGCGTCATGCTAATGTCACAGTTGCTCCAATAGGGCATCCACATATAACTCCTTATCCTGCAGACTATTCTCGATTTCGCATGCTTCGATTACGGACGCGAGCAGGAGCATGCATAATGTGGCAGTTAACGGTTTTTTCATGGAAAGTTGCTTATGCATAGGTTGCGTGCATGGTGCAACTCGCACGCTTAGCATGTGTTCTGTTCCCATTACTTTTTCCACTTCTAAGTCCTTGTCCACTCTATCTTCTTCGGCCATTACATGTTCCACTTCTACGTCTTTTTGGACTCCAGGTACTGCGCCTTTTTCCGACACTGTCGCCTCCTGTACAGTATTCAACAAATGCTTAAACCACTCCTGCTCACTATACATACGCATTTGCCGATGTTGTTGCGCTATCCACTGTCTCCACAAGTCCAGTTTCTTCATCGGCGGGGTGGCCGCTGCACCCAGTTCACTGTTGCCAGATACGCCGTGGTCTTCGTCTGCCGCCATGTGTGCAAGCAGGTATTGTGTCCATTCCGATTTGAGGGCATTAAACCACGGCTGCGTCGTGCACGCCCTTAAAATATGTTTGTGTTGTTCAATCCAGTTAATCCAAGTAGTGTGGTAGGGGGTCAGGTTTGCATTCCCGGGGTCGGAAGAGGATGGAAAGAGAGCAGGAGTCCCCTCTTCTTCTAACTGTATGGTTTCCATACACCTCCAGGGATGTGGGTTGTCTTCGTCAGGGCGACAAGGATGCGTGGATAAGTGTATGGTTTCCATACAACGCCATGGATCGGGGTCATCTTCATTCGGTGAACAAGGGTCCAGTTGTAACTGTATGTTGTCCATACAACGACATGGATCGGGGTCATTAGGTGGGCAAGGGTCCGTTTGTAATTGTATAGTTTCCATGCAACTCCATGGATCGGGGTCGTGTTCATTCGGTGGACCAGGTTCCGTTGCTGACTGCATAGGGTCCATACAACTCCATGGATCGCAGGCATGAGGTGCACAAGGGTCCGTTGCTAACTGTATGGTTTCCATACAACTCCACGGATCGGGGTCTGCGTCGTTAGGCGGAGAAAGGTCCGTTGCTAACGGTATAGGTTCCATGCAACTCCATGGATCGGGGTCCTCTTCGTTAGGTGGACAAGTGTCCGTTGCGAGCTGTATGTTTTCCATACAACTCCATGGGTCGTCTTCGTTAGGGCGACAAGGGCCCGTTGCTAACTGTATAGTTTCCATACAACTCCATGGATCGGGGTTATCTTCGTTAGGTACACAAGGGTCCGTTTGTTCGGAGTCACTGGGTGGATTGAGGGTGAATGAAACATTGGTCCCTGGATAACCCTGGTCTGACGTAGAAACACCCAAGATATTGTTATGCCTGTCGTCGTCCCGCATCAAATTCTGTGCAAACTGCTGCACGACAATCTGCCAATAGTCCTCTTTGACGTTTTCCCACTCGGTGGCTTCACATTCGTTGAGCACTTCTAGATGTAGCTCGATGATTGTGCGGCGATTCACGCGTGGTGGGCGTCCTCTACCGGATATTGACGAAGGTTGCCGATCCCTAATCATCGTGTAGCCGTAATCGGGTGGCGGCGGCTCGCCGCGTTGTAGATGGTCTAGTATGTCTTCGTCGAGTGGCGGTGACGGCACGTCCCGAACGGTTCGATATATTCGTCGTCGTTTGGCCAGGTGGGCAAAATACTAAGCAGAAAAAGGGGGTAAACAGGAAGGTGAGGACGGTAGGATAAAAGGAATGAACGCGGGTGTAGGGGCATATTGATTAGAACGATCGTATATTGGAGCCGGTGGGGATGTTCTGCGGTATAAACATCCTGAACATGCGGCATTCCCTGATTGCCATGTATACTTACCTTCCAGAGGAAAAAGGCAATGATCCCAATACCAACCACCGCGGGAATGATCGCGGGGGTGTACCACGTGACATCTTGCCATCTGAGGCCGGGCGGCACGGACGGGGTGGCAGGGGTAGGCGCGTCCCCTGCACCATCAGTACCACTACCGCCGTGTCCTGCACCACTAGTACCACCACCACCACTACGACCTCCTCCTCCTGGACTTCCGCTACCGGCGCTGCCAGCATGCGTTTCACCACCCTGACCTCCCTTTCCTTCCCCACCAGAAACTCCATCCGCCAAATCAGCATCACTGAAACTGCCACTACTACCCGATTGATCTGGGTTGGGGTTCGGTTTTGGTTTGGGTGGATTGAGAGGAGGGGGGTCATCGTTTCTTCCATCGACGACAACATCGCCGCCTAGATGCTTCCCGGGGTCACCATTCTCTGCGGGCTGATGTCCTTTAGCAGGGGGATGCCTGGTTTCCTCATCCTCTTGTACAATAACTGTATCCTTTACTTCCGATGAACTCTTATCTTCGCTTCTCCCTGGGGCAGAATCATCCTTTTCCCTTTTTGGTTCTTCGGGATTAATGATCGTGGATGTCACGTTACCTGGAATTTCATTTTCAGGTTCCCCAACAGTAGCACCATGGGCATCATATGGACCCATTGCACTACGTGGTCTCTCTTCTGTTCGTTCCGATGTTGTTATTGGGGTTGTTGCTGTAGGTTCCGGTCGTGGTTCTGGGGATGCTGCTTTCTCACTTCCTATGTCTGTTCCTCCTGTTGCTTCTCCCGATGTAGCTGTTTCTGCTACTGTTGCAAGTTCTTTCGATTCAGTATCTTTCTCCTCCTTTTCCCTGCCCTTCTCCTCATCCTCTTCGTCCGATGAGTCGTCCTCCTCCTCCTCCTTTCCGTCCTCAGCGTCCTCATGGGAGTCCGGTTCTTCTTTGTGTATGGTGTCTGCGCTCCTGTCCTCATTAGTGCTGGAGGTCACGTCCTCCTTGTCTTTATCTATTACTCTTTTTGCGCCATCCCTCACTTTCTCCATTACCTTCTTCACTTCCTTCACAATGTCATCATTCCTTAAAATTTCTTCGACTAAATGCCCATGGTCCACGTCGTCAATATTTTCTCCCTTTTTCCGTTTCCTGTAATCCTCCCACTTTATATTACAGTAATTTTTCTCTTTTATTTTCCGCTCTATCGCGCTCACGTCCATATTACTGTACATGCCTGCCTTAATTTTTCTCCATACTTCTTTTTCTATTCCTGTTTTCTTTCTCCTCTTTAGTCTTATACACTTCTTCTTCCTAATAGGTAGATCCTCCCATCCACCTTTTTCTTTTCCTTTCATATTTTCCACAGCTCTCCATGCGTACTTCATTCCCTTATTTTGGTTTCTGCATCCAATTTTCTTCAATATTTTAGTAAAAATATTACTTACCATACATCTCAATTCCTTCTCTAGCGCGCTTCTCTTCAATTTATCCTTCTCTTCCGGTTCTATTCCTGTGTGCCAACCTTCCACGAAGAATAAGGCTCCAGTCATAAGCGTACACTGCATGACGTCCGCTACTGAATGTCCTATGTACACCTTCCCCTGCTCCTGGTCCTTATAATTCCAACCTATATTCCCACAATTTGCACCATACATACTGAAATTGTCTTCATTCTTGCCCATATAGTCTATGAAGCTACTTAACGTTGGTTCCATGACCCCCAGAATATATTTCAATATTGACTAATAATACAAAAAAGAGGGAAAATATAAGGAATTATAGTTACATTTACTTTCCCTATCCACCCATGCTTTAAATTTAGCAAAACATAAATACAGGTATGTACACTTTATTCCCATATTCTTTCCTAGTGGTTCCTTATGCATAAATTCATATGACGCTCCCGCCCCTATATACTGCTTCATCATACCCACTAATATTGTTCTTAATAAAAATATAGTTGCATATTTATACACTATGAGAATTTGTCACCCTCGTTTCATTACCTCATGAGTTATGGCCCCGTCTCCATCTATTTCTTCCTTTTGGTTCTTTCCCCCGTGTAATTCTGTTTCCCCTGGTCCAGTTTTCATGACGGTCTTCAGGACGGGTGCCTTCCCCTTAGATGACTCATCTGCCAACCCAGTCTGCACTTTTTCCCCTGCTCCTACATTTCCTCCCATTATTTGCTTCATTACTTCTTTCTGGATCGTACTCACACTATCTCCTCCCCCCTTATCCTTCATATCCCATTCTGTGCAGTTGTTGCCCAATATTCCAGGACCTATGTGTCGCTCAGTTAATTGATTATAATCCATCCATCTGCTCATTGTTTGTTCCACATTGTCCGTTCTTACTTGCGTGTTCTGGGAATCTATGCTATCACATTGCGTATTCCTGTGTCCTATCCAAAGTGTATCCAGTTGGCTCTCTACAGCGTCGAATGCTTGTTTCGCCCCTGCCGTCTCTAAACAGGGCTTACCCAGTAAACTTAATATATATGCATTTACTATCATGCACCTTATATATAACTCATCTTCGTGCTTCATACGCCTTGTATCATTGGTACCCAAACTCATACTGTCTATTCTAATGTTATGCTTAAAGTATAGGGCTTTTATAATATACGCACACACAGCTTTATCCTTCATGTCCAGCTTTATGTCTTCACCAGTGCCTACTCTGTATTCACATAATGCTTCAATTATGTCATTTTCCCCTCTCCACATATATGCTACAAATTCTTGCCGTATTCCGTCTAACCTGTTGAAGAGTGTTTTCTATAATTGGAAAAATCCACATATGTATACATATACATGGTGATCATTTATTTCTACTCTCCATTTGTTTTTATATTCATTTCACACTATTAGTTCCTTCTGGTTTTCTATCTGTTTCCATTGAACTGGAAGTAACAGCTTGGGTTGTTCATATATATATATACTGCCCCCTTACATTTGCCAATTTGTTCCTTCCGACATACATGTAGTATTATAATTTTCCACTCTCTTCTTCTTTTAATCTCATTGAACTTACGAACACATCTTGCCTTATAGTTTTACTCTTCTGCAGTAACCACTTTTTCAATAAGTGTATTAGAGTTCCATCCATTATAGTATCATTCGTATACTATAATATAATGCCCCCATTGAAACAGATCTACTGCTCGGTTTATTCTACAGCAACTTCAGTATTATGATATTGCCTCATAATATTTCCTCACTATGAGGATATGGGCTCCCTATACCCTTCTTCCAGCTCTTCTGCTTTTCATTTCTTTTAATTCTTGCTTCCTATCCTTATGTTATTTCTTTCCTTTATTAATATGCGTAATTCATTTCATGATACAATAAAAAGTGAACGCAGGTTAATATTAATTTCGTTCATTCAACCATTCATGCAAAGAACAAATATGCATAACGAAATTTTGTGTTAGTCACAATTATCGCATATTTATGCAATAAAAGGGGGGAAAAGTACATAGGGACCAAAGAAGAGAGGAAAATGTGGAATATAAAAGAGAAATACAAACTTAATAATGCCTAGGAGTGTGAACCCCCGTTAAAATACTTATTGTTATTTTATTTTTTTATGCAACTAATTCTTTTCACACAAATTGCACGCACTACTGTTCCTTACCTAATATACCCATTAATATGTTTGGCATTATTTACCTTATGTGGAATTCATCGACCGAAAATTTTATACAATTTCCTTATTTTACTACATGCATTAATATAATATTGAACTGTTGAATAGGTTTTACATTAGGAGAACTGCACCGAACAGCTGTTGAAACATGGGAACATCGGAACACCATTTATAAGATTAGTCCAATAATTGAGTCATAATAAAAGTCACTTCCAATGAGATCATTCTGAAAGAATCGCGCATATTATGAATTAACTAGCATAAGGAACTACGCTCAACCTTCCTTTTCAGTACTATCCATCTGGATGTATCAAATAGGAACTATTTATTCTCTGTAGAATCCATTATGCCATATACCCGTACTCTCCTTCTATCCTTCCATTTCTTTTTCCAGAAGCAGGCAGAAGTATTGTGAACATAATAATTAAATTGGAATTATCCTACATCAATTTCACAGACCTTAAGTTCAAAAAACAAGTTTAAGCTTTTTGAATTTTAAGATTAAGTTTTAGCGCTTAGGGTTCATGGGTTTAGGGTTTAAACTTTTAGGATGTCAGGGTTTAGGGTCTCAGGGTTAAGTGTTAAAGTTAACCGGGATTAGGATTTAGGGTTTACCAGTTTTTGGATATAAGGTTGCCGGGTTTAAGAATTCAGATTTTTCCATATTAAGATGCAGGATTCCGGGTTCAGGAGTTAAGGCTTTATAGTTAGGAACTCCGGTTTTTGAGGTTAGGAAGTAAGGTTTTTAGGGTTAGGAAATAGCGTTCTAAGGTACCTGGCCCAACATTCCAGGATTAAGGTATTGCATTCACAGGTTTAGGGTACTATATTTACATGTAAAATTTAAGGCTTAGCATTCAGCACTCCTTATATAGGAGTTCAGGTTTCTCAATTTAAGTATTCAGGGTATAGGAGTTAGGGTTCAGGGCAAAAAACGTAGTGTCTTAAGTATCGACTGGGGTATGTATAGATAGTGTAACTTGTATTTGCCCTTATCGGCGAGGAGGGCGTTAAAGACGAGGGTGAGGATGCTTTGGGGCGATCCATCAGCCCTGCGTTGTTCCCACCGAGTAGAAAAGTGAACGAGTCACTTCATCGGTGGAGTGGAAGTGTTGCTGTGCAGTTACGAGAAAAGCTTCTATTCTGCGTATTAGCACGCGTCTCTACTGGGCGGACGGGGATTATGGGGACTCTGACGGCACCCTTCCTGGCATGCCGACTGCACCAGTTATAGTCTTTCCATAGCCTGTACTGAAAGGTATATAAAATATTATCCATGAGTAACTCTTGGTTGCATGATGTTTCGCTTGCGTATTCAGTTCCGTGTTTGCTTTCTTCCATTTTGAATGCCACTTTGGCGTTTGAAAAAGCCCGACGGGAGCGAGGTGTGCTTTCCCGTCCCCCACTGGAGTTACTATTCACCACGATGAGCCCCGTTTTCTTGACCACGGTGTCTTCCGTGGATGCAGATTATTAACACATATACATGCCCATGGTTTCAATGATGTGTGTGTTGCACGTTTTGATAAGGACAAAACGAAGAGGTAGAAGAGAAGGATGTTTTTCTCTGTACTAGTGGAGTGCTGAGAGGATGCTGCATTTTAGCCCATGGTCATTCACGAAGCTGTTCACACGAGTGAGACAGTAGTGTCTGGTTTACGTCCTCTGGAGGTTTTTCATTGAAACATTTATTTGGTTGCTGCGTCGGTCTGGGACGTCCGCTGCCCCAGTGCCACTTGTTGAGCCGCGAATTGATCGCGTCGTCCTCGCCACAGGTGCACTCTCCTTTTTTTTTTACTCATGCGGACCCCTTCATTCGACCACCATCTGGATCCCTCCCCCTGGACAGTGCCTGTGTTGTTTTGTCCAAGAGGAACTTCATGGTTTAGGCAACAAAACCGGGGTGGTGGTGGTGCTGCTGCTGCTCGTGGGTCTTATGGTCACAAATGAGCCTCTAACCAAATAACGGGGGGAAAAAAAAGAGGGGAAAATTACCAACAAAGAAAACGGAAGTTTTGAACGCGTCAGCACAAAAATGGGGTAAGTTCTATGACGGACACGTGTTTCCCATTTCTGGTGAAGACTCGCTGGTATCGTTTCGCCTGTTTCAGAAGAACAGGGTGGTCATCTAACGACTGCCACCTTTGAATGAAGAGAGACGTGGACATGAGTCACACGGAAGCTAAACTGCAATTACACCGAACTGGGAACACGCCAGCCGTGGCATCACCAGAGGTGTACGTACATTGATTGACCGGAAAGAAAGAGAGAGAGTCATTTGGGAGATGCACCCATGAGTGAACAACGAAAGGTCATTCTCCATGGGTTCATGTGTTCATATATTTTTTGTAGTTTGTAGGTTAGTCTTTTTTTCGTTTTTTTTTTTGTTAATTTTTCTTCCTTCCCCCCTGCGTGTGGGACAGAACACGGCGTTGTTCCGTGGAACCGTCATCAGGCACAATGGACAGCCGTTGCCATTTTGTAACCACAGAGAAAGCGCATGACGGGCGCTTGAGCGCTTGCAGTGGAAGGACAATGAATTGTGTTTCATCATGCTGGTTGTGTTGTGGGAACTGTACTTCTGTAGCTTACATTCCGCGCGGGCACCTTCCCTTGGGATGGAACGGCTGCAACACACACAACAATGCTCATTAAAAGGTGGGTGTGGATAGGCCTTGCATGGATGCCCTGTGCCAAATGCAGGCAAGTGCAGAAGTGAAGGGACACACAAAAAGTGAAGGTACCCCCTTTGGGGAAAATACATCAAATGAACGCTACATGGCGCGCGGGAGGCTTTGACGGGGTAGCGCCGCCAGGGTGGACCTATTGCTGTTACGCGCAAAGGACGCCACTCATGTTACCATACACTTGTGAAAGTGTTACATGCGCTGGGGGGTGAATGGGAAAAAAAAAAATATATTATATATGTGACGTGCGCTAAACCACACCGCTTTTGTTAGCAAAATTGGGAGCTAACTTGACACAGGCGGTGACGTACGCGCGCTTCGCGCGATTGTAGTTTGGCTTCTCTGCGTACGTGCCTTCTGCGCGAGAAGAAATGCATATAACAGCGTTTCGTAGGGCGCGGTCGTTCGCGTGCCCAAAGGAGAAACGCCTCCAACACCCGTGCATTTGCGACAGGTATTTTATTTTTGTTTTTTTTTAAGCGCGCATATGGGGTTACAGTAAGCATATGTCCTGATGCTCGCAAGAAACAATGGAAAAAAGGTGGGCCCCGTGTGGGAAGTAATTTTTTTTCACCGTTGACAGCGGATTCGCCTCGTCCTTCGCCAAATGGATACGAACCAACCCGAACCCGCACTCCCTAAGAGCAGCATATGGAAAGGGACTGGAACAAGCCGCATACGTAAGAGAGCACACAACGGTAAAGTGCGGAGCAAGTGTTACGTATGATGCGTGCTCAAATATTTTCCGTGTCGCCCACGCGCCTTATTTGAAGTTACCTTCTTTTTTATGCGTTCGCGTGGGGATGGAAAAGGGGAGCATTCTATCACATGCGTTGATATTATTTGTTCGAAGGGGTATTCAGCATATAACCCCATTTTTGTGAGGTTATCTGATGTCCTTTTTTTTTTTTTTTTTTTTTTTTTTGCGGAGGTTCATAATATATTAGCATACGGCTTACTACATGGTTATGCGGAGTGTATAGCTCCAGGGGCTGGTGCAGATTTGTAGTTTCCCCTCAGTCACGTGTGGGCTTTTAGTATTCTTTCCGAACTGGGGAAGGAAATTTGCCCTCCTTTAGTGACATCGCTACTGCGAAGTGCAAGCGCTTACAAGTTAGCGCTTATCACAGAGCGTCCATCACATTTTATGGGAGGACCCATATCTCCGTTGTAGCGCAACCCCCCCCCTTTACACCACCATGGCGGAGGAGTATGAAAAGTATAAGCGGTTTGAGTACCGCATGAATTCGAACCTAGTCCTCCAGAGGGAGGGCCCCGTTCCTAACTTTAATGAGCCCACGGGGGAGAGTGAAAGTTTGGCTGGGAGGCTTAAGCATAAGATGGGGGACAAGGTAGAGTACACGAAGCCGACAAGCCATAGCAGGAGAAAGGATGAACCATTTGTGAGAAGCAACAAGAGAAAGGATCTTATGTTTGATGACAGTAGGAAGAAAATGAGAAGAGGTAACAATGGAATGATTAAAGAGAGAAGTGTATTGAGTATTAACCTTCAGGACATCTTTATGTACAAGCCAAGCACCAAGTACACGGAGAAAATGTTTTCTAATGTGATGGGTACGGTTCGATCCATCATTGGAGACCACACAGGGGACATCATTAACAGTGCTTGTAACGAGGTACTCTTCATTTTGAAGAATGAGAAATTAAGTAATGAGGAGAAAAAAAAGCAAGTGGAAGGTGCACTTGAGGTCTCCTCTATGAGTGATGAACAGTTTATCGAGCTGAATAACTTTGCCAGGGAAATATATGACTTTAACAGGAAGGAAGTTTTGGAGGAGGTGGACGAGGAGGAGGGTGTTGCTGTAGTCTTTGAGGAGGACGATGAGTATTTCGATTACAGGAGCAGCACGAAGGGGCGAGATAGCACCAAGGGGCAGGAGGACATGGCCAGTACAAATGAGTTAAGTGACGACTACAGGTATGGCGAGGTGGAGGACGATGAGGAGGAGGATGGCCAAGATGGGGACCACGTCGACGACGAGGAAGACGACGATGACGATGCGAATGAGGAGGAAGAAGAGGATGATGATGATGATGGGGACGAAGAGCAGGAGGAACATGACGACGATGCAGGGGAAGACGCAATGGGGACAAAAAGCATTACATCAGGGAAGGGAAGTAGGGGGCGTAAGACCTCTAAAGGAAGCATGATTATGACCCCAGGTGCTTTCCCTATGAAGAAAAAACAGGACAAGCAAGAGAAACACCTAAGCTTGAAAAGCATTAACAAAGATACGAGTGGGAAGAGCAAGGACGCAGAGGACTACGATTTGGAGACAAATTCGATCGACGCACATTGGTTGCAAAGAGAATTGAATAAAGTCTTTACCGACCCCTCCCTCTGTTTAGAGAAAGAGAAGGATGTGCTTGATGTACTAGGTATATATGACATACAAGAATGTGAAAATAAGCTTGTACATATACTGAAGTACGAGAATTTTTCCATGGCAAAATTATTGATTAAGAATCGTTGGAAAGTGTATTACTGTACGTTGCTTGGTCAGGCCCAAACGGAGAAGGAGAAGAAGAAAATCATGGAGGAGATGAGGAAGAGTGAAGAGGGGGAGGAAATTTTAGAGGAGCTCTCGAATTTTAAAGCCATGAAGAGGAACAAGCAGAGTGAGTTTGCCAAGACCATGCGCAGGGAGGCAGACAACCTGTTCAACAAACGCAGGTACGCGGGGGAAGAGGCCACGGAGGACACTCGTCAGAGGGGCAAATTCATACACGAGGGGGACGACGACGATGAAGATGAAGAAGAGGATGATAACGATGATGATGATGAGGACGAGGAGGATGATGATGACGGCACTGCAAAGAACGCCAAGTCGGCTGCGAAACGATCTGGCCAGACGAAGAAACTAAGCGTAAATGTGGGCACCAAGCAGGGAAAGAAGGGAAGGACAGCTGAGCACGACGACGGGGAAAACGATGAGGACGAGGAAGCAGTTGAACAGATCAGAGCCAAGTATGTTGACTTGGAAAAGATGGAGGTCAAACAGAAGGGAGCAGATTTTTTTAACAGAGAAGTGGTGTTGCCAGTGGACAGCAGCCGCGTGGAGAAAAAAGATTACGATGAGATTATCATATCGAGTGCTAGGAGTAAAAGCAGAAGTGGGAAAGGGTCACTCGATAATGAAAAGGCAAGGGGGAAGGAGAACTACTTCACGAACCCAGACGACATAAATCTCGTGAGCGTATCGGAGCTACCCGAGTGGGCACAAGAAGTTTTCACCTGCGTAGGTATTAGTAAACTGAACGCAGTACAATCTAAGGTGCACCAGGTAGCTCTAAACAGGTACGATGAGAATATGCTTATATGTGCCCCAACAGGTTCAGGAAAAACGAACATTGCCTTGCTGTGTATACTGAATGTGATAGGAAGCTATAGGTTACGTAGTGGCAACATCGATAGGAAGAACTTTAAGGTTATATATATATCTCCTATGAAGGCGTTGGTGAATGAACAGGTGCAGTCCTTTTCCCTAAGATTGAAGTGTCTGAATATCAAAGTGAGCGAGTTAACAGGAGACGTGAATTTGAGCAGCAAGGAGATTGACGAGAGTCAGGTGATTGTGATGACCCCCGAAAAGTTCGAGGTGATAAGTCGGAAGTGGAATGAGAAGATTTTGTTGCAGAAGATAAAGCTGATCATCTTCGATGAGATTCACCTGTTGAACGAGGCTCGAGGGAATGTCCTGGAGAGCATCATTAGTCGGATCAATCGATACGTGGACAACACGCTGGTGTACGACGTGGGGGGGTCGCCTGAAGGAGTGTCAAAGGGATCATCAACAGGGGAGGCCAACAGCATGTCACGTGATGTGGACGACGCCCAGCAGAACAGTCTGCATATGCGCAGGAAGAAGATCCGGTTGGTGGGTCTATCCGCCACGCTGCCGAACTATGAGGACGTGGGTCTGTTTCTGCGGGCTGACTTGCGCAGAGGTGTATTTTACTTCGATTACTCCTTTAGGCCAGTCCAGCTGGAGCAACACTACATTGGCATTAAGGAGAAGAAGGGAATTAAAAAGTATGCTCTCATGAACGAGTTAACGTATGAGAAGGTTTTAGAGGAGGCGGGAAAAAATCAAATTTTAATTTTTGTGCACAGCAGGAAGGAGACGTATCGAACAGCGAAAATGTTAATAGACAAATTTTTGAAGAGTGATAATTTAAATAAATTTCTTATGGGGAAAAAAATATCGAGCGAAATATTATTATCAGAGAAGGAAGCTATTGTGAATGAAGAATTGAAAGAGATTTTGTCATTTGGTTTTGGTATTCACCATGCAGGGATGAAGAGGACAGATCGTAAATTAGTGGAAGATTTATTTTCAGATAGGCACTTACAAGTGTTGGTGTCGACCAGTACGTTGGCATGGGGAATAAATCTGCCTGCACACACTGTTATTATTAAAGGTACTAGTGTGTATAATATAAGTGTGGGTGATTTTGATGAGCTATCATCAATGGATGTGCTTCAAATGGTAGGAAGGTCAGGCAGACCTCAATATGATAAAAGTGGGAAGGCCATCATCATAACGGATCACAAGAATTTGCAACTTTATTTGTCATTAAATAATGAACAGCTGTCCATTGAATCTACTCTTATGAGGAATATTGTAAATGTTATTAATTCCGAGATTGTGTTAAGGAATATTCAGAATTTTAATGAAGCGGTGAACTGGTTCCGATATACATACCTATACATCCGCATGATGAAAAATCCCAAATTGTATGGAGTTTTTGGAAAAAATGAAAAAATGGACTCTGTACTTTATGAACAAGATAAGGAGAAGAAAAATATTTCTGACTTGTTCATGCAAAAATTGAATAAAAGAATTTACAATATAATTTATTCTGCCTTTATAACATTAGAAAAATATGATTTGATAAAATATAATAAAAGGTTAAACACGGTGAGTAGTACGTATGTGGGAAAGATTAGTAGTTATTACTATGTGGATTATCGTTCTATAGATTTATATAATAAGAAGCTGAACAAGCATACAAATGAAACAGAGTTGTTGAAGATTTTCGGTATGAGTGATGAATTTAAACATATATTTGTAAGAGAGGAAGAGAAAGTTGAATTATCAATAATAATGGAGAAATTACCCATTCCATTGAAGGAGTCCATAAGTATCCCTTACACAAAGATTAATATCCTTTTGCAGTTATATCTTTCTAATGTAACCCTAAATGGGTATGTTATTAATGCAGACATGATTTATATACAACAGAACGCATTGAGAATTTTTCGATCTTTCTTCGAAATATCTTTAAAAAAAAACTCTTACCATTTAAGTGCACTAACCTTGAAATTTTGCAAAATGGTAGAGAGGAAAATGTGGGCGACCATGTCTCCCTTGAGGCAGTTTGGTTTGCTTAGTAATGAGTTGATCAGAATTATTGAGAAGAAAAATATAACCTTTAGGAATTATTTAAATATGAGTTTAAACGAGTACATGACAATATTTAAAAATAAAAAAATTGCAAAAAATGTGTACAAGTTGGTTCATCATTTTCCTAAAATTGAATTAAATGCATATATCCAGCCAATAAATCACAGGATGCTCAAGGTCGAATTGAATGTGGCTCCAGATTTTATATACAATCCCAAGTATCATGGTCACTTTATGTTGTTTTGGGTATTTGTCTTTGACATTTCCAGTGAGAGCATGTTACATTACGATTTGTTTAGCTTGAAGCGTGGTGGTGTAGCTAGCTCCACCAATATCAGCTCTGTGAATGCAACCTCTCAGATGTATCAGCAAGATGGGGACCACTCTGGAGATACACTGGATGATCATCTATTAACCTTTTTTGTACCCATAAATGAAAATCCATTTTATATAGTAAAAGTGGTATCGGACAAGTGGTTAGAATGTGAAAGTACGATTAATTTGTATCTAAAGGATATCATTTTGCCTTCGAAAATTTCCTTCTCTACTCCATTGCTGGATCTACAAGCACTGCCTGTCAATGCTCTCAAGTTTGAAGAGGCCAAGCAATTTTTCCACAGCAGAAATGTAACACATTTTAACCCTATACACACACAGGTATTTCCGTCCGTGTATGAAATGGGTGGTAATGTGATCATTTGCAGTTCTCCTGGTAGGTATTATTTAACGCCAGCTGAGTTTGCTGTTTTAAGAATGATTCGATGTGTAAAGGAGTTGCACGCGTTCATTAGGAGGTACATCAAGAAGGAAGAAGATTTATACAAAATTGTTCGCGATAAGAATATTGCTAGTATAGCTTACAATAACCCAGTGAATTTTATAAAAATTGTTTATGTAGCCCCCTTGGAAGAAATCGTATCGAAGACGTTTGAGAATTGGGCTCCTTTTTCAAACACCTTTGGAATGAAAATGGCGGTACTGACTGGTGATGTACAGGTAGATACAAAAATTTTACAAAAGAATAACATCATTTTGTGCACCCCTGATAGGTATAATAATTTGTCGAAAAAGTGGAGGAGGAAGAAAATTTTTCAGTCGATTAATTTGTACATATTTGATCATATGGAATTGCTGGACACATTGGAAGGGTCCATCATGGAGGTTGTGATTAGTCGTGTGAGATATATAGCGACTCAGTTGGAGTTGGGGAAGACACATCGGGGGAAGAAAAGCAATACAGCTTCTACATCTTCAGAGGGGAAGGGTAAGCTGCCTCCGTTTGTTGATCTGAACTTGGGGGATGACAGAACGAAGGAGCAGGAAGGAGGTGGGAGGTATGGAAAGGGAGGAGCATCGTCCGATGCGGCTCAAAATTTGAACAAGATGCAACATTTGAGCATGGATGATATATATGAAAATATTGGGGTAAATAGAATTGTGTGTTTGTCTAGTTGCTCCATGAACAACTGTAAGGATGTAGGGGAGTGGATCGGTTGTAAGAAGAGTGACTATTACAATTTCTTATCTAGTGTGAGGAGCATTCCCATCGAAATTTATCTTCACGCTGTGAGTATTATGAACAAGCAGAATAGGTACCTGTCTATGCAGAGGCAGGTGTATCAAACGGTTAGGAAATTGAAAAAGAAGAATGCCATCATTTTCGTAACGGAGGATAAAATGTGTAAAACGCTTGCACTTGATTTGGTTCTTTCTGCTTCTAATGATGGGTGCATGTTTTTATCTAATTTGGGAGGTGCTAGTGGGATGGAGAATTTACAAGAACATGTAAATGATAGGATGTTGTTGGAGCTACTAAAACAGGGAGTAGGGTACTTGCATAGAAGTATGGGGGAGATGGAAAGAAAATTGGTGGAGGCCTTGTTCGATAAAAAAGCCATACAATTACTGATCGTAGCGCATGATTACGTGTATAGGTTGAATGTGTATGGAAATGTAGTGATTCTGTTAGACACTATAATTACTCACTTTGATGGGAAGGAGGAAGATTATTCTATTCAGAGTGTATTACAGATGCTGAGTTATGCTGGTCGAGAAGGAGAGGATACAAAGTCGTTTGTTTATATATACACGTATATCACGAAGAAGGAGTATTACAAGAATTTTATTTACGAACCGTTGACTGTAGAATCTAACATTGAGGATCACCTGCCAAATTTTCTTAACAACGAAATTGTGATGAGTACAATTGAGAATTATCAGGATGCGATTGACTGGATCACATGGTCCTTCTTCTACAGGAGAATTAGGAAAAACCCTAATTATTATGGTTTGAAGGGGGTATCCAATGAGCATATATCTGACTACCTCTCGGAGCTGATCGAGAGTAACATTGAATTGCTCTCCTTTGCTAACTGTGTGGCGATTGAGTCTGGTGAAGATCTTAAGCAGGAGAAAAAGACACGCAATGGAATGACTCATAGTGGAGTGGACGGGGGAGAAGGGGCTGGCAGCGGCTCAGTTTCCATTAAGCCTTGCAACCTAGGAATCATCGCATCGTATTACAATCTCGACTATCATGTAATTCACTTTTTCAATCAATACGTCTTGTCCCTCAAGGGGTTGAAGAAGAATAGGATAATGGAAATTGTATGCCTTTCTAGCGTCATGTCCCAGGTGGTAAAAATGAGCAACTATGATGTGATGCTGTGTGTGAAGATTGCCCAGACGTGTAACATGAAAGTTACTTCTGAGTTTTTAAAACTCTCTATAAGTAGTGAATCAATTACAGGGGAAAATGGTCTTGTTGGAGGTGGAGATGATGGAGATGGACGATCAGATCACCTGAATAAGTCAGGCGAAAATGACAAAAAAGAACAATATATAAATTTAGTGAATTTTATTTCAAACCCGGTATACTTTACTCCCCATTTAAAAGCACTGGTCATTCTCCAGGCACACATTAATCGGTATAGCATTCCTTTGAACTACGTTGAAGAAACGAAAAGGGTCCTCGAGAAAACATTTAAACTAATCAATGCACTAATAGACGTGATTAGCAGTAACAACATTTTAAATTTTTGCTTATTCGTTATGGAGATTTCTCAAATGTTGACTCAGAGTATGAGCAGTACAGATGAGTCGAATCTGATGCAGTTGCCCCACTTTGATGGAGCTTTAATTAAGAAGGCGAAGGAATTAGAGATTGCAGATGTGTATGACTTGATAAATGCGGAGGATGAACAGAGAGAGGAACTTTTGAATCGGTTGAGTGAGAAGGAGAAGAGTGAAATAGCTAACGTATGTAATATTTTTCCTGTTATCGAGGTGCAGTACGATATCGACGTGGACAAAAAGTACAAAGTAAATGAAATTGCTTCACTTAGTTTAACTATAGAACGAGACTTGGTGCAAGATGACCCCGACGCTACTGCCAACTGTTTTGCGCACTCGCTGTACCTTCCCTTTGAGAAGGAGGAACTGTGGTGGGTCGTCATTGGCATTAAGAAAATGAACCTTCTGCTTTCCATAAAGAAACAATCTCTGATCAAGGCTGTTAATAATGTTAAGGTGAATTTTGAGTTACCTGACCAGCCTGGCCACTACGACGTGGTTATTTACGTTATAAATGACTGCTACGTGGGGTGTGATCAGGAGTACGAGTTTGGGATTGAGGTGGAGGCGTGACGGGTAAGACGTGGCAAACGAGACGTGGCTGGTTGCTTGCCATTTGAATGATCACTGGAGTGTTTTACCCAGCCTTCGCGTGGCGCGCGCAGCTCCTTTTCTCTCTTGTTTTTTTTTTTTTTTTTAATTTTGTGCAGAGCGTGATGTGTGTTTCCCTAGCGCATGAGGGGAGACTGCTCCATCCTGTGCGGGATTGAAAAAAAAAGGGTAGTGCAGCAATCGCACGTTTTGTACATATGTAGCAGCGTCCTGGAGTGGACTTGGACGTGTCTCCTCTTCTACACGTTGAAAAACCCATTTGGGGATTTTTTTTTTTTTTTCTTTTTAAATGTGCCGACCTAGTTGGTGGCGTCCTCTGTGGAGGTCACTCTAACTGTAGTACTGGGAAGCACCCGCGTCCCTTTTGTGGTTTTTTCAAATTTACAAAAAAATAAAAAAAGGATAAAGTGGAAATGGGCAGTAGCTCCGAGGTGGGCATGCATATAAAAGTATATAATTACATGGCAGGTGACTTGCACGGCCCATCGCTGTGTGGTGCACTGCCGCTACTTCTTCCCCCCGGGCTGAGCATTAGTAATCGTTTCGTAAAAGTTCTTGAAGAGGGAGTTGCACTTCCTGTCGTCATTGTGCAGGTGCATGCAGTAAAAGAAATTAGAGTAGTGGTCATTGAACAGTTTAGCGTAGCTAACGTTATCGTTGTTATTGGTAGTGCAGTACTTGTAACCCTCGACCTTGAAGGACTCATTTAGGACGTCTTTGCATTTTTTGTCTCCTTGGTTTAGTAAGAGGTCGACGTCGTACTTGGCATGGTCAGGGATAGTGCTTCCCAAACACATAAAGCGCTTTATGTCGTAGAAGGAATAATTTTGTTTCTGTGTGTGGTACTTTGCTTGATTGTAGAGAGAGGGTGACTCGGGCGACTGGTGGATGACGTCGCCAAGCTGGGAGTAGTCTGTGGTTAGCGCCATGGGAGGATGCGGAGAAACTGTGTACTGATCAGTTGAGCGGCTGAACTAAAGAATGGGAGGCTTCAGCAACATCCTGTGTGGGGAAGGGGGCAAGTGGTGTCGCTGCTCCATGTCTACATGTAAAGTATATACGTGTGGCACGTCTAAAACAATATCGATAACACACATATATATATGTATGTATGTATGTACGTATGTACGTAACTGCGCTTAACGTAGGTAAGGTATGTGTGGAGGCCTACGTGCTAGTACCTACGGGCAGCGCTGGGTCTGCTGGGGCCTGTGCCTCGGAGAAGCCAATTGTGCGTCCGCCTTCGAGGGGGGGGCAAATGGAAAACGACTTTTCTGCCACTCTTGCGGGGACCGTAACTGCATAGGATTTGTCGAAATGGGCAAAGTGCTGATGAAATGGCCAAAAATTTTTTTTTTAAAAATTAAAAAAAGGAAAAGAAGAAACAGAAAAAAAAAAAAAAAAAAAGCATTATCCCCCGCGCGGGCAATCATGGGCGCATCGCGCATCCAGTACATCCCCGAGGCAGAACCATTTCCTGCGCAGCGATTTTTTTTAGGGCATGGCCTCTACCGGGGTTGCGAATATTTTTAGTGCCCCATCAAAAGGTTTGCAATATTCCAGAATTGACCCCCACATTTGTTGCCATTTGTTTTCGCTTTCCCTTCTGTTCATTTTTTTTTTTTTTTTTTGTTTTGTTTTCCCTTTGAGATATAAACTGCAACGTAGCGGTTCGCCAGAAGAGCATACATTTATATTTGTAAGCGACCGACGGTGAAGGCGCAACGAAGGACGAGGCTAAAACCCTGACAGGGCCTGCAGCCAAACGTGGGAAAGGCAATACCTATATATATAACTACTACGCGGCTGACTACAATAATTAAACTTTCGCTTAAGTAGAAACATATGTGGATCCTCCCCCGTTCCCACAGTTACTGGGAGGACTTGTTCAGTTGACGTGCCACCTATAGGTGAACCGCGGCCCAGCACAGTGTGGTTTCTCCCACGTGGAGATAGTTACGAAAAAGTGGAACAAGGGGCTAGTGAACCATACAGTCTCTCGTCTGCGTGAGCCGACCCCAGTGTATAAGCCGTCACGGCGACTTCTTTTGCAGAAAGTCTCCAATCACAGCTCAAGATGGATAAAGAAGAAAATTACAAAACGTCGGAGAAGTACGAAATATGTACTAGCTTTGAAAATATAGGCATTGACGAAGGTTTGCTGAGGGGTATTTATGCGTACGGATTTGAGAAGCCTTCAGCTATTCAACAGAGGGGTATAAAACCAATACTAAGTGGAAGAGATGTGATTTTGCAAAGCCAAAGTGGGACTGGAAAAACTTGTGTCTTTGCAGTGGGTGCTTTAAATTGTGTTAATCGTAATTTAAGTGAAACCCAGGTGATTATATTATCCCCCACGAGGGAGCTAGCAGAACAGACTCAGAAGGTGTGTTTGGCTCTAGCAGATTATATACACGTAACAATATATTGTTGCATTGGCGGGAAGAAAATGAGTGACGACATAAAGGCGCTGAACAATGGAGTTCATATAATTAGTGGGACCCCAGGAAGAATATACCATATGCTAAACTTGAGGCACTTAAAATGCAAGTATATAAAACAGCTAGTTATTGACGAGGCGGACGAAATGCTAAACAAAGGATTCAAAGAACAGGTATACGACATATATCGTTTTTTGTCTCCCAACACACAAATCGTACTTTCTTCAGCTACACTTCCACAGGAGGTGTTAGAAATAACAAACAAGTTCATGCACCGGCCTGTGAAAATATTAGTGAAGCGAGATGAACTCACATTGGAAGGCATAAAGCAATTTTTTGTATCCATAGAGAAGGAGCAATGGAAATATGAAACGCTTGCTGATTTGTATGAAAGCTTAACCATCACGCAAGCTGTTGTGTTTTGTAATACGAAGATGAAGGTAGATTGGTTAACGAAGAAAATGCAGGAGGCGAATTTTACCGTTTGTAAGATGCATGCAGGGATGAGTCAAAGTGAGCGAGATGATATTATGCTCAAATTCAGACAATGTAAATTTCGTGTTCTTATATCTACTGATATTTGGGGTAGAGGATTGGATGTTCAGGAAGTTTCTCTTGTGGTGAATTATGACCTGCCTAACTCGAGAGAGAGCTACATTCACCGCATCGGGCGGAGTGGCCGATTTGGCAGAAAGGGGGTCGCTATAAACTTTGTTAAAAATGACGATATAAAAATTCTCAGGGATATTGAACAGTACTACTCCACGCAGATTGACGAGATGCCTATGAACATCACAGAGTTGCTATAAGCGAAGCGTAGCGGAGCGAAGCGGTGCAACGTGAAGCGGAGCGCAAAGAGGCGTAGCGAAGCGCTACACTGGGCATCTTATCTCACCTGAACGTTATTCTAATATAGTAGGGGGGAGAGACAACATCCCCTTCTCAGAAGCGCGTAGAGGAAATGATAAGCATGGGTAGAGACATATCCTCCCCAATGTTTCCCCATTTGTGAACATGTGCTGCGTCTATGTGTTGATAATTTTTTCTTTTTTTTTTTTTTTTTCACCCTGCGCCTCCGCGGGTTTATTCCCATTGTGGTAGTGTCGCCTTGTTATGAGGCCCACGGCGTGCATTGGGGTGGGGGGGGAACCCTGCAGGGGGATTTATTTTCGTTCTGCTTTATTTTACTTGACCTAATTTTTTTTTTTTTTTCTTTTTGCAACCCGATTTGTTACCAAATGATTACCGCTGAGGTCTTCCCTGCGTCATCAATTCAATAGAGCAATGTATACAAATAAGATGGTGGCGGAGTTCAAGGATAAAAGTGCACATCGGTTTACCTTTGGAGGTTTCTCTGTCCATGTGCACCACGGCCACCACGTCCCTGCGTCTGACCTTCCATGACATAAGCACGGAACCCACGGCGCGAACAATCCCCCTAGTGTTGCCCCTGTGTGGGTTCTTTTGTCAAGCACTCAGTCGGTGTAAGAGACGGCCATTTGGGTAATTTACACAGGGAGGTCATTTTTTTTTCTTTTTTTTTCCCCCATAATAGGGGAAAGCCCCATGCATCTAGGCCATTTCAACCTGTTGTCAGCATCCCCCTTTTTTTCCACCGGGTCTGTCAACACTACAGATGCAACCTTTTGAATGTTGTACATGCCCGCGTACTACCTTTTCATGAGCAAAGTTTTGGTGTAAACACGGGAGATACGTTACTCTTTTTGCAGGGTGGCCGTTGGGCATGAGTGGGATGTATTGTGCTTTCCCTGCCCTGACTACTCTAGCCACAGGGGAATACCTACGTCTGAGTATCGCCCCAGGGAAGAAGCAGATCCGTTTTTCCCTTCCACGGGTGCGCAGCAAAATGTTCATTTTTTTTTTTTTTTTTTTTACAAGCCATTGTACCCACCTGTGTGTGCACTTCTCGAACGTTTTAATGTTGATATGTAATAAGGTGGAGGGGCCGAGCTATGCAGACCCGTTGCAGTGACACGTGCAATCAGTCGTGCCGTTTGCATTCTCTCATATGATGTTATTTACTTAACTTCAGTCCGTTATCTGCGTGCTTTTTTTTTTTTTTTTTTTTCCAAAATTTGGTGCATGTCGTTTCGGAGAAGTACGAAGTCATGAAATCCAGGCACCCCTACTTGGATATGGAGTAACTTCTTTAGCATCAGATGGGATGTTTTCACCAAGGTGAACAATGCATGTTAATGGCATAGGACGGTGAAGGTTTCACCCCCCCTCCTCCCCCCAACGGCATTGTGATGGGATGAAGCGTCACCGATGCCGGCCACCTAGTGTGACAAAGGGAACAGAAAGCTCCCCTTTTTTGTTACATGTTGCCACACCCGTTTGGTGCAAAGCTGTGTTGGAATTGTTACACATATGCAGGGATTGCTTTTTTTTTTTTTTTTTTTTTGTGTTGTGTGAGTCTTTTTAAGTGTTCCTTTTGTGAGGTTTCCCAGATTGGGGATAACCGTTGTGTAACCCCCCCTCCGTGAGTGGACTGCACACTTATGCGAAATTTGCCGCTTTCCCCCCCCGGTGCTTCCAGCCCAGCCATCACGTTGTGCCAAGCATGCACCGGCAGGAAGGAGGAGGCACCTTTCTACGTAGCTTTTTTTCTCTATCCCGTAGCGAAAAAATATGTATTATGTGAAAAAGTATGAACATAAGCTGCTGAGCGAAACGCTGCGATTTTTAGGGTTTACATTAAAGTGGGGAATTCACGAAAATGGGTACTGGATGACTAATCTGAATTATTCCTTTGACTATATGTTGTCCAATTTAGTGATAAAATATTTTAAAGAAAAGAGTAAGTAGAGCGATCCTTTTGTGGAGGGGGCATTTCTCCGCTCCATTAGAGTGTACCCCCCACGCACACAACACATGCTTAACGGTTTCCCGCCTTTGCAGAAGTAAAATCGGTGATAGATGTAGGTTGTGGGTACGGGCACTACGTCAACGAATTAAACTTTCACAAAATAAAGGCAGTGGGCGTTGACGGCAATTCTAAGCTAGTCAATCAGCTCAAAAATGGTATGTTTATTTGTTACGCGTGATCGTTAACCGCGACTGTTCAGCGTGAGCGTTCAGCGCCGTGGAGCATACACACATGGAGTGTTGTTTTTTTTTTTTTTT